GTCAGGTGACCACCCCCTCAGGTCCTCCCCAGATGTGTCCCATGGCAGGTTCTTATCCATGGGTCCTGCTGGGAGCAGTGAGCTGGGGGAGGAGGGGTGTCAGGAATTCTGGGCAGCCATAAGAAATAGTCTGGTGGACAGGGAAGGGGGAGAGGCTGCTGGTGAATATCCCCATAGACCGGGGGGCAGAGGAGAGGGGCCCAGGGCCCCAGGAGCCAAGCCTGGGTTTTCAAGGTGTGGGGGGTACAGCTGGAGGGGCTGCAGAGGATGGGCAGGAGGTGGGGCAAAGCCTGGGCTGCTGGCCACAGGAGCTCCCTCAAAAAACAGTTTCCCAAGGTGGGTGCGGAGACAGTCTGGGAAAGGCTCACTGTCTGAATTCAAATAACGAACTCAGAGACAGAGTCTGGCGAAAATGAGACTTTTAAAACTTTCTCAGGAGCAGGTGTCCGTTGGTGCAGGCTCACCTGAATTAGCTGGCACAGGCAATATTTATCCTCTTTTGTGAAAGTCCCTCCTCCAGTTCTTTGGCTGAGTATATGTAGTTTACATTCTATCCCATAGGTCGCCTAGATCTTATTGTCTCTGTTATGCCCAGAATTCAGGATCCCCATGAGACCACACCAGGGAGCCAGCCGCGTCCGATGCAAAAGCATAAGAGTCTTTATTCAAACCCGGGTTTGGCTCCCCTACCCTCCTTACTGATGCAGCGGCAAGTGATAGAGAGAGCCAGCTCTGTGGGGAAAGGGGTTTTATAGTAAGGGGAGGAGAGAGGACTGTGGGCCCTGCCGATTGGCCAGGCGCAAGTCGTTACACAGGATGTGGTCGTATCTATGGCGCGCACTTCCCTTGATTATCTTTGGTTAATTTAAAGAAATCCTAGGTGTGGCTAGCAGAGGCCTGGGCTTCCGGAAAGAAGCTTCTTGCTGAGCACATGGCTGCTGCCCTAAAATGGAGGATTTGGTGCAAGATGGAGGGCGTAGCCCTCGCCCTTTCAGTCTCCTATTGGTTTTTTTTTCTTTTTCTTTTCTTTTTTTTTTAATTGGCTGAGGCCTTTTCTAGTTGTCTCCACCTCCTTTTGTCTACAGAATCTTCCTGGAAACTGTGTTACCAGCCATGTGCACAGCTCTCATATTCTCTCCCCACCTCCCCTCCCACATCCTGTTTGCTCTGAGGAAATTCAGTAACTGGCTGGCTACATGCTGTTCCTTTTCTATGAAGATGAATAAATCATAGAGGCGTGTCTCCTACAACAGGAAGCCCCACCCAGGCTGGGGAGCTCAGAGGCAATGGAGGGTGGGGGGAGGTGAGCTCTCCCCCAGGCCTGCAGAGGACACTCCTGACCCAAGGCAAAGCCTGGCCCTGGGACTCCACAGACAACCTCCCCCTGTCCCTCCACCCACAGAGAATGGGCCTGGTCCAGGGCCATTAACCCTCAGATCTCTTGTTGTCCAGGTGATGCCCTCTAGGCAGGATCCCTGTGAGGTTGGGACCTGCTTCCGCCTTGGAGGAGCAGATCCCAGAGGCCCTAGGGGGATTGGAGTGTGTGGGAAGGTGACTTGGGTGTTCTCCCCACAGGTGTGAGCTCTGATTCCTTGAGAAGATGATGGAAAAAGGAAGTTCCACACTGAAGCTCTCTGCGGTGAGATTCAGCCAGGCCTGGCCATGCCCAGCCACCAGTTCCTGGGACAAAAACAGGACTCTGGTCATTTCCCCCACTGACAGGGTGCACCCAAGACAACTAAGGGCCTATAAGGGGTCCACTGCTTCCCCCTGGGCTAAGACCCCAGGACCATGAGATGGGGCATCTCAAGCTACAGGCCAGAAGTTCTCAGAGGACCCAGGTGATAGGGGCAGAAATACAATGTCAGGGTCTGAAAGGTTCCAAGTTGGGCCAGGGTCACACAGAACCAACTCAAGGCTCAGTGTAATCAAAATTATATTTATTCAAGGCATCTGGGTACAGACAGGCTGAGTTCAAGAAGAAGTCAGCAGCGAATGGGGGAGGAAGCAGGCTTTTTATGTGCTTAGGGAGAGCTGCAGGTGGCTTTGGATGACACATATCTGGGCTGGGCTGCAGGCGGCTTCTGTTGATGCTTGTATCTGGGCTGTGCAAGAGTTGTAGTCTCAGAAGTCCTTGTGAAATATTTGCTCAAGGGGAATATGTTTTTGCAAAGCTTAGGCTTGCAGAACGAACTTAGTTTCTGCTAAGTTAGAGCCCTATTTCTTTTCTTTCTTAAATATGTTTATTTCAGAGAGGAATGGAGAGGGAGAGAAAAAAACATCAATGAGATGATGAGAGAGAATCATTGATCGGCTGCCTCCTGCATGCCACACTGGGGATCAAACCCACAACAAAGGCATGTGCCTTTGATCAGAATAGAACCTGGGACCCTTCAGTCCGCAGGCCAACACTCTATTCACTGAGGCAAACTGGCTAGGGCCCTATTTCTTGATTAACCCTTTCAGTGACCAGTTATAGTTGTAAGAAATATATATATTTTAAAATACATTTTTATTGGTTTCAGAGAGGACAGGAGAGAGAGATAGAAACATCAATGAGAGAGAATCATTGATCAGCTGCCTCCGACATGCTCCCTACTGGGGATCGAGCCCGCAACCCGGGCATGTGCCCTTGACTAGAATCAAACCTGGGACCCTTCAGTCTGCTGGCCGACACTCTATCCACTGAGCCAAACCAGCTAGGGCTGTAAGAAATATTAATCATGCTCTGTTAACCATGATTGCTTTGTTCTGATTAAAGAAGGCACATTCTAACCTGACTGGGAGCTCACCTGGCAATGCAGCCTATCCTCCCCATGACCAATGAGGTGGCAGGGCCCAGAAGGGCCAAGGCCCACCCTGAGGCCACCAGTTGCTCACTACAGGGAGCTGCCTATTATCATGGAAAGATTAACAACCTAGTTGCAGAAACCAGAGCCTCCAGCCCTTTGCATATCACCAGCCTTTTGAAGACCCCTGACCCTTTGCACATCACAGCTCTTTGAAGACCCCCAGCCTTTGCATACCCACATGCCTTTGCAAATCTCCAGCCTATATCACCTAGTTTACAGGTATGCCCATTGGCATACCCTTACCTACTTCCCCTTGTAATCTTTGTCCTTCTACCCAATAAAAGTAGCTGGCTTTGTCTTTCTACCCAATAAAAGTGGTGGGGCGCAGCTGTGGATGACCTGCCCCTTTCTTCCTCCATATAGGCAGTGGCTGGTGTGCAATTACTACTATCTGCATCGGGGATTGGTGCCGTTGTGCTATCCGTGGCCCTAGGAATAGGACTCCTAATAGGAATCGGATTCGGTATCTTCTACTTGTTTAAGGTCAGAGCAAGCCTGGGATTAGCATCTGGGGAGGTCTGGGGCTGGCTGGGGGTGGGGGCGGGAGCTGTGTATGAGTAAGAGGGAGGGCTGAACATGGTTTGAAGGAGGCACAGTTCAGATCTGAGAAGGTAGTGGGCCCTCCATTGGCCTCCAAAATGGTCGACCATACCTTTCTCCCCTTGTCAGCTCCGGACCTGTCTGACATGGTTCTTCTTTTGCAGGCCCTCAAAAACAAGATTCAAGAAATGTTTTGACAGCAATCCTTTCCAATCTCCTGGCCGGAAGGAGAAGACTCCACCTTCCTGGGGAATGTGTGAAGCAACTAGCTATACACAGTTTATATTTTGAGTATGAACAAAGTCAACTTTTGAGCAAAATGAAAATTAATTAAATACATATTGATTGAGTGTATACTGTGTGTCTGACTCTTCCAGAACCAGACTCGTTATCCTAGGATTCTGGGTCCTTTGAGACCCAGCCTGGGGGCCTCCCCACACCCTATCAGCCCCCACCTGGCCCTTCCCCAGGGCTGCCTGACTTGATTCATCCTTCAGACCCAGGGCCGCTGGTTCTTTCCAAAAAGGGAAAGTCACCTCTGTTTCTCCTCTACAACACTCACAGTCCATACCAGCTGTGGGATTTCCCCACCAAGCTGTTTCTAGTCTCTGTGGACACCAAATTTGTTTCCTCTGATTAACTCAATTCTGACACCAACAGGAGTTATTGAAGACCCCACACGGTTAAGGGTTCAGTCCCACCAATCTGCCCCAACTTCAGATGCCAATCCCAGCTAATGGGTCCCAGGTTACCCACAAATTTCTTTCCAGGGATTCCCTCGACTTCTCCTTGGGTTCAATCATTTGCTAGAAGGGCTCACAGAACCCAGGAAAATGGGTTAGAAAGATCATTGGGTTATTATAAAGGACTAGTGGCCCAGTGCATGAGGGTGGGGTGTGTCCCTCAGCTGGCCTGCACCCTCTCCAATCTGGGACCCCTCGGGGGATGTCTGCTGGAAGCCGGTCCATCCTTGCTGCTTGACACAGTCGCTGCAGGGAAGAAACATCTGCACAGCATATGTTTCAAGGGACCTGGTGTATATGGCGTACTGTTCTTAATATGTTTACTCCCCTTCTTAGCACTATGTGTTCTAAACCTAGGGTCACCTCTCTGAGAAAGGTTGTTTCCCTAGGTGGGGATTTTTCCCTGGAGTTTGGGATTAACAGGACTAAAGAAGGGAATAAATCAGTAAAACCCCTTAACTAGGTGCCAGGGGTGTAGTTAATCACCTTAACTCTGAACAATCACCTTAAGCTACATAATCTTTACTTAGGATAATGTCCTTCAGTTACTTCCTTGTAGCTTAACAGAACAGTAGAGTAGTGACCTTGGAATGGAGATAACACCTTTGGAATAGAATAGATAGGATTAAAATCAACAGAACTAGATGGAAGTGGGATTTTTGGCAAAGGTCGGATAAGAAATTATGGAAATGAAACAAGGAACTGTAGAAGGTTACCCAAAACATACCATGAAGTGATTATAGAGGCATGCTTATAGGATCAAATGGTATAAATACAGATGTAACAGGACAATAAGAACAGAACCTGGCTGGATAACCTGGCTAGAGAACCTGGCTAGGCTGCTGATCAACTGAACGCTGTCTCCGTGTGATTCCTTCTTGGCTGACTCCATCCACACCTTTGGGAACCCCTGGACCTGTTGGAGCTGGACCCCAACAGATGTCCACAAGGGATCAGGCCTAAACCAGCAGTCAGACATCACTCTCACAATCTGGGACCTCTGGGTCCTAACCGCTCACCTGCCTGCCTGCCTGCCTGCCTGATTGCCCCTAACTTCCCCCCTGCCGACCTGGTCCCTCCTAACAGCTTCCCCTACCAGACTGGTTGCCCTTTACTGCCCCGCCCCACGCTGGCCTGGTCACCCCATGCTGTCCTGGTTGCCCACAACTGCCCCCGCCTGCCAGCCCGGTGGCCCCTCACTGCCCTCCCTGCCAGCATGGTTGCCCACAATTTCCCCCCTGTCAGCCTGGTTGCCCCCAACTGCCACTCCCTGCTGGCCTGGTCATCCCAAACACCCCCCTTGCTGGCCTGCTCACCCCCAACTGCCCCCCTGCTGACCTTGTCGCCCACAACTGCATGCCCTGCTGGCCTGGTCGGCCACAACTGTCCCCCACTGCCAGCCTGGTCACCCCACACAGCCTGCTATTTAGTCGTTTGGTCCTACCTCACTAACCCCCCTGCCAGCCTTGTTGCCCCACCCAGCCTGCTGATCGATTGTCCCTTCAGTTGTTTCAGTCGTGACGGCTCCTGGCTTTTTATATATTAGGATACTCGGGGGCAGGGGGCCTGCTAAAAAGTAAAAGACCAATCAGTCAAAATCCCATCACTTAAAAATTATAAAATATGAAGTGGCATTCCCCTCAACTAGCCAGACCCTTCAGCCCTGCATTGCAGAGCCCCCCAGAGGTACAGTGGGAGCTGCTCACTGGAGGGGCCACAGAGCACCATGCAGGCCGAAGGTGAAAGCAGTTTTTAGGGGTAAAATAGGCAGGTTTAGGAAGTTTTAGGAGTTAGGGGTTCCATGGGGAGAACCACAAGGCTGCAAAGCTGGGAGCTGCCCAAAGGTATACATTACAGACTAAGTGAGCAGCCAGGAGGTGTGAATTTACAGAGTAAAGGGAAGGAAGCCACTCACTCAGAGAAGGAAGTGGAGGCCAAAGGGAATAGAAAAACACAAGGGAGAGAAGAGGGGAACCCCACGTGGGGTTTGAGCTCTGAAGCTGCTATAGTGACCAATCAGAGGGGATATCAGGACACAAAGACCTGCAGCCTTTATAAACCTTAGAAAAGGGACTTAGTGGGACTCTCTCCCCCTCCCCATGTGGGAGTCTGTGCTTGTTTCTCAATACATTTCCACCTTTTCCTGTTCCACCTTTTGTCCATGGCTTCATTCTTCCAATTCACCTGGACAAGAACCCAGGAAGCTACCTTTGCATCCTGCCCAGTTGGAACTTCGAGTTTCAAAGGTTCAACAGAAACATTTGTGGATGAAAGGGGCCACATGCTAACCTGACAAGCTCAGGGGAGGCCTGCATGGTGGTCTTACAGACTCAGAGACCTAAAGTAACCACAAAGGATGGTCTGAAATTAAACTTTAACTAAAAGCAGTTATGATGAGCAGTTACGTCCTAGGCCGGTATCTTCACTGACAAGGTCAACCTTTACCTTAACTGAGCCTATCTGTCTCTTTGCATCTATAATAACATACACTTGAAATATCTGGGTAACTTGTAACTTCCCTTTTTCTGGACCCCTTGGGGCACAACCTACTGTGCCAGGACAGACACCACAAACTCCTTCATTGTTATCATGTTAATTGATCCTGCACCCACCTAAGTCCGTGTCTATCATTTTACATTTTATACAATTTTTACTTTTTATCCAAAGCTTTGATTTCTCCCCCCTCTCTAGTCTATCACCAATGCATTTCATGTAACTCACCTACATCTCTTCCTTTGATTGCAATGTATAAATATAGATGTAACTCACCATCCTCCAGAGCATTATCTCAATCCCTTGAGGTTCTGCTTCCCGGCAATTGTAGAGTTTGGCTCAAATAAACTCACAAAAATTCTTTACGGTTTTGCATGTTTTTATGTTAACACATTCATGTACATATACTGTTGGCACAACTTCATAATATAAAAAAAGTAGAAAAAAACTAAATGCCCATCTACAGGGTATTAGTTCAATTAACTGAAATAATCATGCATTCGAACAGGAACTCTGTATTCTCGTGGTTCTCAAGGCACATGTCAGGCAGGCTGCATGCTCAACAAGGTTAGCTGGGTAGGCAGATGCAGAGACACAGGGATGGTGGGTGCTGGGTGGGGGTGGGGGTGGGCAGGTGGCAGGCGGTGAGCTTGATTGTTATTTTGTCTGTGTCGGGGGCCCCTCCCTGAGGGTCCTCCCCTGCAGGACTTTCCCCAGGAGCCTCAGGCCCCTCCTTCTGGCCTTCCCCAGGGAGCCCCTTGGTCATTGCCCTCCCAGGCCCAAGTGTTACCTCCTCCAGAAAGTCTCCCAGGACTGACGGCTTCTGGCTGTGAGCTCCCAGTGATGGGGAGCAGAAGACATTTTGGGGGCTAGTGATCTGAATCGGTTCCAGTAACCTGCTATCTACTGCACACATTCTTGCTAGCTGATAATTAACTCCATTTGTGAAAGAATGTAGACTAGCAGCCAGACTCTGTACCTAGTGAATTAGTGTCCCTAATGCACATTCCTGTGAAAGGACAAAGCAGAACTGACAATCCTCCATACCTGTAGAGCTGGGTCCTCAGCCTGACCCCCCCCCCCTCACTGGGAGTGACCACAGGAATGCCAGAAATGTCCTCACTCCCCCAACCACCACCTGATGTTGCCTATGCATCGCTGTTGACCAATCAAGAAATAGTAGGGGAGGGCTCAAACTTTGGAATGTGTTCGTCACTTCCTGACCTTTGTGCTGTAAGACCCTGCCGAAAAACCCTGACCAAAGTGACCAATCTCTGTAACCCACGTCACTTACCTAAGCCCACCCAAATGACTAGCCCTATATAACCTTTGTTCTCCAGGGGCTCGCTCGCTCTCCTCTCACTGCTGTGTCAGTAAGGAGGCTAGGGAGGGAGCCAAGCCCGGGCTTGAATAAAGACTCTTTGCTTTTGCATCGGAAGCTGCTCCCTAGTGGTCTGTCTTGGGGATGTGAAATCTGGGCATAACAACTGGAGTCACGGCCCCTTCCTT